ACAGGGATTTCTTTTTTTTTTTTTTTTTGCAAGTGTACTGTGCAACTTCATTAACAACTGTAAAATACTCTGCAGCCCTCAGCTCAGTGGCTCTGAATATTTTCAGAATCAATGCCGCCTTCCCTAGCTTTACAGGGTTTAGTGGCATCCAAAAACAAATGTATTTCTTAGTGCTCACCTTCTTGCAACCTGTGGCACTCTTGATCTTAAGAGTGGGTGGCAACCCTGAGAGCATGGTAGGGAGTGCTGCAAGGTGCTCAATGGGGGAGAATGAGGAAGCTTGGAGGTGGGACATTAGCATCCTGAAGGAGGCAGCTGTCCGTGCAGGAGGAGGAAAGGGGCAACGGTGGCTGTAGACACAGGGACTGCCGCCAAGTGAAGGCAGGGGGCACGGCCCTGTTGTGCCACGCATTTTCTGCTGTCTGCCCTCACCCTGCCCGCCCCATCTGTACCCAAGAGGATGAACACAGCCATTATGGCTTTGGCTTATGGCCCTTACTGCTAGCTTGGAAGCATGAGAAGACTAAGCCAGGCTGAAAAAAAGAACGGCCCCATGTCTGCCCACCCACACACAGCAGAGTGCAAGTGCTGCCAGAGGGTGCGCTTTTCAAATTCAGCTACTTCCCTGCTCCTGGAGCTGGTGGAAGGGACTGCCTGTCCACCGCATGCTGGGGCGGACACAGGGCTCCCGAGGCATGGAGGAGCCACTGCTTACTTCCCCGCACGGAGGCTGGGCGCCACGGCACCCTTCAAAGGCTCTCGCAACACCACAGGCTGCTGCAACATCCTGGTTGAGAATCACTGCCTTGCATGAGAGCTGCACTGAAATACTATTGCTCTCAAAGCTGTCTAAACTCATTAAAATCTGGGAGAAGAGTAGTATGGTCTTGAGATATTAAGCAGCAGCAGCAGACTGACTAAATTTGGCAGTCTAAAGCACTTATAAGCTGCCTGAGGGGACTTATAGGGGGGTAGCCAAGGGGAAAGCCTTTCGAAGTCACCACATCAGGTATACAGAGGCTGCAGGTTGGCATTCCTCTGCTCCAGCAGGATTTCTCCTTCTTATGCGGTAAGCAGTGCTTCCTGCATCCTTATTCTCAGGATAATACACTCCACTAACTAATATTAGTGCTGTGTCTGCCTACAAGGGGAAGAGCATAAATAAAGGCTGAATCCTTCAGTCATTACGCAGGAAAACCTCCACTGAATTCAATGAGTTCAGCCTTGGTTGTAAAGAAGTGAACCGTTATAGAAGAGTGGGAGACAGCAATACCCTTCCTATACAAAAATTTGGAGCCATTTTAGAAATGTATGCTGGAGATATAATTTGCAATTATAAGCTGCAGGTTTCAATCAATAATCTATGGGAAAAAATACGATTTTTATTAAAACAATATTCTTGAACAGAAAGATTTCTGTAGCCCTACTGATTGATTCACTAATAAATTCTATAGGGTTTTCCCATCTGGGAAAGAACTGGGTTTGATATTTTATCTTCTGTTCAGATGCCAGAAACTAATTAACCAAAATCATTGGTGGCAGGATATAGTGCACTAACAAGCAAAAAATAAAACTTGGAAACTTTCCAGAATTGCTTCTTACATTGTGAGATTCCAAAAAAACCCACAATGAGACTTTAGCCCATTCTTCTTTCTGTGTGCCCCCCAGTGAACAGCCACTAGTTTCTCTTATACTTTAACTGCTAAGGGAAGAAAAAAAAAATCTTTTCCCTATGTGTATAAAACATCTTTAAACAGAAATAATACCTCATTGGGCTGGTCCAGACTTTAAGCAGAATTTTCTGCTTCTTTCCAATGCAATAAATATTGAATATCAGCAGAGCAAGCAGATATCTCAAATCATGAAAGAGGGACCGAAGCCTCTAAAATGCTGATGCAAGGG